AATAAAATTTAGAGTCTCAAAGTATGGTCCTTAAACCAGCAGCCTCTGAGCACCTGTTAGAAATGCAGCATCTCAGGCCCAGCCCAGACCTGCTGAGTCAGATTCTGCATTTTAACAAAATGTCCAGGAGATTCCTATGCCTATTTGAACTTGAGAAGCAATTGTTTAGGCTGGGAACCATGGTACCTGAGAATCACTTTGGAAATTTCTGTGTGTCTGTTTGTTTCTTTGTTCATTTGTTTCCAGGCCCTGAATCATTCTATCTCAGAGAGGAGGCCTTGGCACATGTTTTGTCCCTGTTTTGTCCCTGTGGTACTTCCACAGGTAATCCTGATCCTGGGTTTATCCAGGTTTGGAATAGTCTTGTAGAGTTTAACTGTACCTTTTGCTAATTTAGAAAAGGAGAATTCAAACTACAAATTATACAAAAAAGCCCCTTCCACGCACAGATAATCCTGAATTAGCCACATGGATCTGCCAGACATTAGGGCTCCATGGGGACTCCTGCTGGGCACATGCTGACAATGATTTTCAGTCCCACCCCATATAGGAATATGCCAGACATCTAGCCCGTGGTACAGTTTTTCTGAAGATGATTGAACTCATGCTTCAAGCTGTGACAATGGCCCTCTGATATTTCTTCACCTCCACCATCAGCACCAAATTCAACCTGATCTTCCACCTCTCCTAAATCTCAGGCCCTCTATGCAAAACAGGAGGCTTAGAAACTATATACTCTAATGATGGCAGAGAGGTCAGCTCCATAAAGTATCTCCATTCATCCCTATTAATCCTAGACTATTTGATCTAGGATTCTGCCCAGCTCCAGTATATATCAAAATTCAAATACTGAGGGACACTTAAATGTTTGTGGTTAGGACACATATGACAAACCCACAGCTAACATCATACTCAATGATGAAAAGCCAAAAGTTTTCTCTTTAAGCTCAGGAACAAGACAGGGATGTCCACCTTCATTACTTATATGCAACATAGTATTACAAGTTCTAGCCACAGCAATCAGACAAGAAAAAGAAATAAAATGCAACCAAATTGGAAAGGAGGAAGTAAAACTGTTGTTATTTTCAGATGATATGATACCATATACAGAAAATGCCAAGATTACACCCAAAACTCTATTAAAACTAATAAACAAATTCAGTAAAATAGCATGCACAATTATTATTTAAAACTGATTACATTTTATAGACCAAAACAAATAATCAGAAAAATTATTAAGAAAGCAATCCCATTTACAACTGCATCAAAAAGAATAAAATACCTAGGAATAAATTTAACCAAGGAAGTAAAAGACTTGTACTCATAAAACTATAAGACAATGAAGAAAGAAACTGAAGAAGATACAAACAAATGGAAGCATATACCATGCTCATGGATAGAAAGAATTAACATTGTTAAAATGTTCATACTTCTCAAAGCAATCTACATTTTCAATGTAATCCTTACAAAAATATGAATCGCATTTTTCACTGAATAAGAAGAAATAATCCTAAAATGTATATGAGACTACAAGATACCTTGAATAGCCAAAGCAATTTTGAGGAAAAAAAGAACATAGCTGGAGGAATCACAATATGTGATTTCAAATTATAGTGTAGGTTACAGTAATCAGAACAATATGGTACTGGCACAAAAATAGACACAGATCAGTAGAACAAAACAGAAAACCCAGAAATAAACCCAAGTCTCTATGGTAAATTAATCTATTACAAAGGAGGCAAGAATAAACAATTGAGTAAAGACAATCTCTTCAATAAACAGTGTTGGGAAAACTGGACAGATACATGCAAAAGAATGAAAATAATTTTCTTACACCATATACAAGAATAAACTTAAAATAGATTAAAGACTTAAATGTAAGATTCAAAACCATAAAACTCCCAGAAGAAAACATAGGAAACAAACTCTTTGATATCATTCTTAGCAATATTTTTTAATAGTCTCTTTGGCAAGGGAAACAAAGGAAAAAAGTAAACAAATGGGACTACATCAAACTAAAAAGTTTTTGCACAGCAAAGAAAAACATCAACAAAACAAAAAGACAGCCCACAGAATGGGAGAAGATATTCACCAATACATCTGATAAGGAGTTAATATCCAAAATATATAATAAACTTATACAACTTAACACCAAAAAAACTCCGATCTGATTAAAAAATAGGCAGAGGACTGAAGAGACATTTGTCCCAAGAGGGCAGATAGTATATGAAAAGATTCTCAACATCACTAATTATTGAGGAAATGAAAATTAAAACCACAGTGAGGTATCATCTCACACCTGTCAGAATGGAAATCATCAATAAATCAACAAACAACTGTTGGCAAGAATGTAGAGAGAAAGGATCACTCATGCATCAGTGAGTCCCTATTAAAGGAAGATTGGTGCAGCCACCATGGAAAACAGTATAAAGGGTCCTCAAAAATCAAAAATAGAACTTCTTTATGACCAAGGAATTCCACTGCTGGGTATAGATTTGAAGAAACACAAAACACTAATTCCAAAGAATATATGCACCCCTATATTCATTGCAGCATTATTTACAGTAGTCAAGATATAAGGAAGCAAGCTAAGTGTCCACTGATTGACAAATGGGCAAAGAAGACGTGGCACACATATACAATGGACTATTATTCAGACATAAAAAGGAATGAAATCCTGCCATCTGAGACAATATGAACAGGCCTAGAGGTCATTGTGCTAAGTGAATTAAGTCAGACAGCAAAGACAAATACTGTATGATTTCACTTACATGTGGAATCTAAAAACCAAAATACACTAACAAATGAAACAGAAACAAACTTATAGACACAGAGGACAAACTGACAGTCAGTAGATGAGAAAGGATTGGGGAGGGCTGGTAAAAAAGGTGAAGGCAAGTACAAATTGAAGAAGTACAAAATAGCAGTTACAGAATGCTTATGGGAATGTAAAGTACAGTACAGGGAATATGGTCAACAACATTATAATAACTACATATGGTGCCGGATGAGTGCTAGACTTATTGGGGTGATCACTGCATAAAATTTATAAATGTCTAATCACTATGTTGTACACCTGAAACTAATATAATTAACTATATAATATAATATAATTATAAACTATAATTAAAAAGTGAAAGAAAAAGAAAAATGTGTGTGGCTGGGAAAAGAATGGGTGACCTTTTTATCCTAAAAGTCATGGCCTCAATTTCTTAACTTGAGAACCCACTTACCTAGCAAAATTGTGCCTGGGCCTCCAATGCACAAGACTGAATGATGTGGAGTGCCTCTGACTGGCATGGGGCTGAGAGGCCCAGACCGGTGATGGCCACGCCTTTCCCTGCCCCACCCCAGTCTCTGGGGAGTGCCACTCCGACTTCAGGGTTCCAGCAGAGGAAGTTTGAAAACCACTGGGTCAGGTAAGCACTGAAGACTGCTGGAAACTAACTTTCATGTGGAAGATAAATCACTGGTGCTGTCAAAACAAAATCATGCCTGAAACTCCAAAGTTTAAACAGGAACCACTTCCAGGTTACCACACCATTTGCTTTCTTTATTAGCTTGGTGTAGAGTCATTCAAAATGTACATTTTCTCTATTATAAGTGTTTTAGGCTCAATAACTTTGAGAAATAATGTATATTAAGCAAATTTCTGAGAAACCCTTGAATCTAACTTCCATTCTTTTTCCTTATTTTGCAGAGAATGAGAAAGAAGTGGATTAAGAATAGAGAAAGGAGAGGCCCAACCAGTCCAAACTACAAAGGCAACAGATTTTGGTGGGAAGAATCACAGATGTCAGGGACAAAAGGATGAAGAAATGAACAACTCCAGCATTCTGACTGCATGACCATACAGCACCTATTCACGCATCCAGCATTGGGTGAGCAACAGTTCTGTGAGGCCCCCTGCAAGTGAGGGGTTACAATGACAAAGGCACACTCCAGTTCCCAGGAGGCACAGAGGGCAGCACGGATCTAAGGGGCAGCTATGTCCTTTACAGCAGTGTGACAGTACGGTAAGTAGGTAAGGGGTTTCATGGACTTGAATAGTGAGTTAAATACAAGCTCTGTGAGAATAGAAATATTGTTTCACTTACCTGCTGCTTTAATTCCCAGACCCTATAAGGGTGGCTGGCAGTGTTTAGAACAAATAAGTGAACAATGCATGCATTCTGCTGGTGGAAGAAATTGGGACCTGCTACTTGACTGCTTTGTGAATGAATCAATGAGGCCCTATTAAAGAAAGTTAAGTGGCTCACCCAGTCTGCCCTTGGCCTTTAGAAGTTTGCATTCAAGTGGTAAAGGGAAAACATGCAGATGGTCAGGAAGTAAAAAGGGACATATTGCAAGTATAAGTCAAAAGGCACAGTCTTATAAATAATGCAGAGCTCAAATAAGAGTGTTGTTGCTTTTGGGCCCCACCTAGGGTAACTTTGGGGTGAGCCTTGGGTCCTCATATTGTAGATCAATCTTCCCTCGTGGGAAGGGGCATGACTGAGGCCCCAAACACTGTGCGGTGTCACTCTCGGATGGGGCAAAGCTGGGTCTATTGGAACTAGAAAAATGCAGGGGTGGGGGAGGTGGTGGTGAGAATGGGGGAACAGCACAGCTGCGACTCAGTTTAAACAACCATTTCTCAGGGAGACCTTCCTTGACATTCTGCTCTGTGCCCCTCCTCTAATCCTGTCCCTTTCATTCAGAGCACTTACTGAAATCCCAATGACACAATTACTGGTGGAATCGTGTGTTTGTGTGTGTATTTTATGTCCCATCCATGGCGACAGGGACTATGTCTGTCTTGGTCAATTTAGAGACCCCAGCAGCTACTTTGGTACTGGCACTTGGGTACACAAGCACACACATGCCTGAGTTGGTTTGCTCCTGGAGGATGTGGGCACTGATCAGGTTTTGAAAGAGCAGAGAGCCAGGCAGGAGATGGGTAGAGAAGAAAGGAAAGGCAGGAAGCCAGCATAAATGCTCCTAGGAAGTCACCAGCTCACCTCCACGCTGCTCAGCCACTGCCGGACCGACAGGAAGGACTGTTTGGCTGTGAGGTCATACATGACGATGACGCCATCGGCCTTTCTGAAGAACTGCTGAGTGATGCAACGATACCTGCCACCGAAGGGCCACAGGTCAGGGGAAACACAGTGTCCCCTCTGCAGCCCAGCCCTGCAGCCCCACTGGGGGAGTGGAGGAGGCAGGGTTATGTCAGGGATGGCTCCTCACCTCTCCTGCCCGGCCGTGTCCCACAGCTGCAGGGCCACCTGAGAGTCACCCACATGCACCATCTTCACACGGTAATCGATGCCTGTAAGGTGGAATGGACCTGTTACTTCCAAATGAGAACATGATGCCCCAACATGTCTGGAATCATGTAAGGCCAAAGGTGATAATCCTGTGTAGCTCCTGGGAGGTGATGTGGGGACATGGACAGAGTGCTGGACAGGGAGGTGTGGGACCTGATTCTATCTCTGCCATTTATTATGAAGTCACTCAACCTCTGTGAACTGCAGGCTCTCCACTGTAATACAATCCATACCCTCTTTAGGGTTACTACAATAAGGTTTAAATGAGATTGCACATGTAAAACCAATATGCCAATGCAAAGACAGTTGTTACTATTCATGAATTTACTCCTTCATTGAAAAAATGGAGGAGGAGGAAAGGCTGTCCTAAAATTTCTCCCTTCCTCCCTCCTTTCCTTTCTTCCTCTCTTTCTCCCTAAAATCACTTTGAAAGCTCCCTTAATAATGTTAAAATATCCCAGAGGATGGGTTATACTTTCAGACTTCCATCAGCCACTGCAAAGGTATGTGGAGGAGCAGAAGGATGGAAAGGGGTGGCAGGTGGAGGGAGGGCTAGAAGAGAAGAAAGAGGAAAGGGGAGGAGATCAAAAGCAACATTCACCCTTGAGATAGGCTTAGAGCTTCTAATCCCAGCCACTGGGCCATTCGCAATTGTCTTTCTGAGGCAGTGACTCTACTTGGAGTCATGGACCACAGAGAGAGGGGACAAAGTCAGGAACATGCATTCCGTGCTCACAGTGGCCCTCAGGACTTCTTTGATAACAGATATTCCTATTTCCTACATCATTTAACAATGTTCACAAGTGCTTAATGGGGTTCAAAAAGTCTCTGACCCTTAAGGTATCAGACTTGGAAACAGAGGGTATCCCCTACCACCTCCAAAAAGGCCCAGCTTCTGAGGTCCTCACCCTGGAGGGCTTAGGGAGGAACAATAGCAACTTGCACCAAAAAAGACAGAAGAGTCTAAAGAGACAACAAGGAGGCAGTCAATGGAAAGGTCATCCCAGCCATTGTCCCAGGCCAAGGCCAGGGCACTGGGGCCCATGAGTGGAGGACATGTGGGAGGGTCACCACTCCCAGAGTGACTCTGGAGTCCCTGAACTTCATGGGTGAGAGCTAGAGGGAGCAGTACCTTTGTGAGGGTACGGAAGAGAACAGTTTGACTCATGAATGGAATGCTTGATATTTCTAGTTTCATATGCTATCTCTCCATCCTCACAGCACTCCCACTGTGACATCCATGTGAGTTACCCCCCCACAGGTGAGCATTCATGAACATGCACACATGCACATGCATGTATACACATGCACATAGATATGTGCATGCACCCCACACCACCCACCACACCTATGAGAGATGAAGAAAGGAATCCAAATGGCATGACTTGCCCAAGCTCGTCAGCAGCAGCAGTGTGTTGCAAACCCAGTTCTGAGGCTCATTCTTCTTTTTACACCAGTACCCTGAGCACCGGGACACCTGACAGCTTCATTTTACCTAGAAAGTCCAGGGCTAAGTGCTTCCATCCAAATGGATTACAACTGGCTGGGAGCTGAATCCAAGGTGAGCATTCTTCTTAGCTAAAACTAGAAGGACTTCCCCAGTCTGTGCTCTAGGAGACTGAAGGGACTGCTTACTTTCTGGCAACAACTCAGGAGAACACCAACCACTGTCCACACACCTTCAAGGCCTGATCTGAAACCAGCCAGCCCAAGGTGGGGAGCCCCGAGGACAGAGCCCTCTCCTCAATGAAAAGGCTCAACGGCAAGGGGGCAGCCAGGTCTCTACTGCCTTCATGTTCCTATTCTACCTCAATGGCAAAATATTTCGCTGGAGGATAAGATGCTTATCTTGCAGACAGTGAGGTGTACCAAGGAGTGCTGGGAAAAATGGGATCCATGCTGTGGTGAGCTTGCTGGGAGTCCCTGCCAGGTAGTGGTCCTTCTCTTTGTAGCCTCAGACAGGCAGGTCCAGGAAGCACATAAGTCCATGGGTGGATGGGAGCAGTAGAGACATAAAGAGTCAAGTCCGCCAGAAAAGGCAACACAGTAGCATGGTACCAGAGGGTCTGAACTACACTGACTTCTGAGAGCACCACCAGTTCTAACATCCCAGCAGCCAGATGACCATGTTTTGTGTTCCTGTCTCAGTTATGCCTTTGACCAGCTATGTGACTTTAACAATATTACTTCATCTCATTTTGGGGAGCTTCACTATCCTCATCTGTAAACTGGGGTGTGATAGAGGGTATGGAGGGACAAGTTGGGTGTTCAGGATCTGTTCAGCTATCACATTCAATGAACACATGGAGGTGACCTCCAACTTGCAACCTGAGTGGTTCCTGAATGATGACTGGAAACCAGAAACTCCTGTCACCACAAAGTGCGCAGTGTTGTCGGGTGGTGTGGGTTAGAGCTGGTGATGAACTCCAGGAAGGGGTCAAGACAGGCCCAAGGTGTCATTTAGGGTGGGAGAACATGGGAGTGGGAATGCCTGCAAGTTGTCATGGAGCGAACTCCAGGGATTTCTCTGTAGAGATGGGAAGTGGGATAGAGACCCAACTGGTGGCCAAGAAAGGACAGAGTGCATTTTGTTGGGAAAAGCAGAGGGCTGTGACCCAATGTGGGGCAGAGAAAACAGCACTGGACTCAGAGTCCTGGGTTCCAGGGAGCTTTGGTCTCTAATAATCAGTCTTCTCATTTATAAAATGAGTTCCAATGTTCTGTAAAAACCATCTTTCGATATCTCCAGGACACCCAGAAGGCTTCTTAAGCACCTACTATCAAAGGAATCATGTGGTCCTAAAGCAGTGTAGGCAGGGTGCTCAAGGAACACTTCGATATTGTAGAACTTACATTATGCACAAGCCAGGAGTCAGGTACATGTCATGTTCCTATGAGGCAGTGGGAAGCCAGGAAACTCCCTTTGATGATGGAGGTGAGCTTAAAGGGGCCCCTGAATGTGTCAGCGCTGTGTTCATCATTCAGGGGCTGCTGTCCTGGACAGGGGGTTGGCTAGAGCTCTAATCTCGGGTTGGACTGCTTTGGCCCTAGAGGGCCAGGACTCTGTGGCTCTTCTGTCTCCCTACAGAGAGCATCTTTCAGGTGGCTGGTATGACTGTGCATGCTGACTTGTGCACCAGAACAAGGCATGTCACATGGCAGGGACACTGATTTGAGCTGCTGCTCTTGCATATTTTGCACAGTGTGATAAAGGGCATTCTTAAGTTGGAACCTTTGATATTTTTCTTCTCTCTATATTGTAGGTGTTTCCATAATAGGCTGCCTGGGAAGTGTAAATTAGTCTGATTTTTTCTTTTTAGAAACTTCCATCTCAGGGGCACAAGTTGAAGATGCAAACAGACCCCCCGATTTCCTGATTTCAATAGGAGAGGCATTACAGGCACATGCCTGCAAGGGGACCTTTGAGGGCCTGAGGTGTTGGCATCCACCTCCTGCCTCCCATGGGCCTGTGCTTGAGCCATGACTTGTGGGGGCATACCCCTCTGATTGATCTCTGGAGAAGGCAAGTCTGCCTCCACAGCTGCTGCTTCCTGCACCACTGTGCTTGGCACATGTGGCTTAGCTCCAGCCCTTTTTCTCTAGGCCAGGCAAGGCCAGGCCCTTTCAAGCTTATTTCACAGGCTCTGCCCTTCTTCCCATCAGGGTCCCCACTCTTCATTTTAGGGTACTCTCAGTTTAGGGATGGAATGGAGCAAAAGGGAGGGGACAGGAAGATATTCCAGATGTGATAACAGCATACAAAAAGGTGTGGCAGTAAGAATGGCACCCTGAAGCATGTGGGAAGAGACCCATCTGGAGGAGCAAAGCTGGAAGGAAGGGACAGTTCAGGATGAGAGGAAGAACATGGGGTCTGCCCCAGAGCTCTTCCTGGGGCAGGAAAAGTTTGTCTTGTGGGGCCAGCTGTCAGACAGCCAAAGGTCAAAGATGGCCTGGACAGAGACTTGGGTTTGGAAGCAGTCTTGTGTGACCCCGTTCATTTTTCAGATGAGAAAAAGCTCAAGCTGAAAGAGGGAACATGTCTACTGAAGTCACATAGCTGATTAGTGGCAGAAGTGAGACAAAGATTCAGAATTTCTGATGCCCCACTGCACCTCAGCAGCCTCCCCCACCTGCACCAACCTCTGTCCACCTCCAGTGGAAGGAAAGTGTCCTCAAAAATGTACACCTTGATACTGAGTGCTGAGCACATAAAATTCAGTATTACTAGCAACACTATGGAATGGAACAGAAGGAGTGTGTGTGGGGTGAGGGGGAGGCCAGTATTTATACCAACCAGCTAATGGGAATGTGGACAAGCCTCTTAACCTCTCTGGGCCTCAGTTTCCTGATCTGTCCATTGGGCTGATAATAATACCTCCCTGGGTTATGCGAAGATACAGTGAAATGATGTGTATAAAAGCTTATGGTAAATATTCAGATCATATCATCATATTTTCAAATATAGTTGACTTATCAGTGAGGTTAAACAGTACATAGTAGGCACTCAATGGATTTATTTTTTGCTTAAGTGATTCTACTTGGTAAACGATAAGAAGGTCAATATGCCTATGAGCTCATCCCATATTCCAATAAAATGAACAACTCTGGAAGAAGAGAAAAGGTTCTCTATCTAAATAACATTTTACCCAAGTGTGGGAATGCATTCAGCCATGATCATCCACTAATAGTTGGGCCTAATGAGCTCCCACAGCGAACTCCAGCTGTCACCCAGCAGGGCCTCTATGTAGGACGGGTAACATTTGCTGGGTAAAGGAGCCATCTAGGGCACTGTCGTCCATCCCACCCACCCACACACACTCATACCGGGAGAGGCAGGGCACAGAAGCAGCTGGCCCATGGGAGAAGTGCGAGTTGTAGTGCGGAGGTGGGGAGCCTAAGAAGGAGCTTCAGGGTCCTGCTGAAGGTGGGGAAGGAATGACAAAAGGGAGACAGGCTCAGCAAGGGTACAGGGGCCTGAAGTCTACTTTTGCCAACTTCAGTTCCTCTCCTGCTGGACATAGGAAGCTTTCAGTGGTCCCATCCCACTGGAGTGAGCTTGGTACTCTGCAGGAGGTGGACTTCACTTTGTCCCTCCCAGCCTCACTGTGGAGTGAGCAGACTGGCCTCCTCTCCCTGAGGGCCCAGGGCCTCTCCCACTGGGCTCCATACCCCTCCCTCAGTCCCCTTCTTACAACCACCCCTTCCCAGAGGCTGGAGGGGGCCCAGTCTAGGGGTGAGAACTTACCCACAGTGGCTGTCATGCCTGGGGAGAACCGGTCATCACAGAATCTCCTGAGGAAGGATGTCTTCCCTACGGCAGAGTTCCCCACAAACACAATCTTGAAGAGTTGGTCTGGGGTGGAAAGAGAGCCTTCCTCCTGTGGACGGCGGACATTGTGGCCAGCTGCTGGAATGGTTGTTAGCCCCTGTTCCCGACACAACCTGCCTGGCCCTTGTCCCCACGGTGTCCGGGGGAGAGTGGGGACCTGGCCTTTGCACCAGCACCGGGGGCCCACCCAGTCTGGAATGTGGGTAGCTTTGAGCTCAGGGCATCAGCAGGAGGGAAGAAAGACATTCATTCAACCAATATTTGTCATCTGCCTACAGTGTTGCAGGCCCTGTGTTAGGCCTGAAGATGCAGGGAGGAGGCCTGGTTTATGGTGGAGTGAAGGAGGCAGGCATGGAAACAAACAATTTCAGCACAATGTTCCATCCAAGTGCTCTGGGAGCAGGGAGGAGGAGCCAAGGATCCACCGAGCAGACACTCTGAGCTGGGCCTAAAGCAGAGGCAGAGATTCTCTAGTGGGTGAAAGGGAGGATAAGGTGGGGTGTTTGCAGGAAGGAGGGGAGACAGAATAAAGAAGACTTCTCTCTGCCACAGGGCTGAGACAGCCCGGGCTGGGGTAGGGGCTTTTTTTCCCTGCCCTTTCATTTGAAGACAGAGGATATTCTTGCCTCCTTGTCCTTTGCTCTTTGGTCCCATCTCACCAGCTTCCATCTAGGCTCCCCATATGCCCTGGGAACAAAGGCAAGACAGTCTCCACCTAGTAGGCTGGGAATCTGTGATACCAGGCCACTGGGCAGAGCAAGGTCCACCAGCCACTGCCCCTCCTTCTCTGCTGCCCTGCAGCAGGAGGGCTGGAGGTTGGCCTTCCATTAGTCTGGAATACTGAAACCCAGCCAGGAATGGACTTGCTTAGACATTGAGGGAGAGAGAGGCCAAATAAGGCCCCACCTTCCCACAAAGGATCATTCCTTTCCTCCTAGCCATCCTTCCTTAAGGAGAGCTGTTTGTTTACTCTCCACTCTCCGCAGTCCTGCCTTCAGGCCTAGCCCAGTACTGCTGGGCCAAATGAGGAAACTCTTTTAAATCATTTAGAAATAGATTTGGGGGAATTAGCTCCTCTTGTTGAGTAAATACTATAATGGAGTGGCAGCAGATCTTAGCAGTACTTGAGTTTCAGAGAAAAGCCATTAACAGGCTTTTGGGGAAAAATCAATTCCATACAGTACTTAAGTAGGAATTCAAGGTCAATTACAGGAATTTAAACTTAAAAAATACTCCCCACTTAAAAACTATGCCCCCTGACTCGTTTTCTTTACTCTTGCAATACCAAGGGCATCTGCTCACGGCTATCTCTACTCAGCCTCTGTGCTTCTAACTGCAATTGGTTTGAGACTAAAGCTCCCAGCAGCAATCTGCATCCTCAGGTCTAGGAAGCCCAGGGTTGGAGGAGTGGGTCCTGGCTGCAGAGGCCGTACCTGACCCTCAACTTGACCCCACCCCCACCCCCAGGCAGATCACTCATTTCTTTACAGGCCAAAGAAGATAAACACATTTATTGATGGTTCAGCTCCAGGCTGAATGGCACAGCAAACTCCTACTCATGTTCATGCACTTAACCTGTGTCCCTTCTGGGAACCATTCACTGTGAGCCAACTGGACTGGGGCAAGGGGGCTGCAGAAAGGTCTGCTGTTCCCTTTTCCACCCTTTAAAAAAGGCTTTACAAGTAAGAGCAATGCATGCAATTTTTGGAATTAGGAAATACAGATAAGTAGGAAGGCAAATAATAATCATTTATAATCTCCCCTACCACCCTGCGGTGGTCACTATTCATGTTCTGATGCATTTCTTCCAGGCTTTTTTCCATATAGATGAAAGAACATATATTTTATTGAGAGAGACTTGAGATAACATTATTTTGTTCTTTTCATATATTATTCAATTATAAATATTTCTGTGGGTCACTAATTTTTTTTGAAAATGTGATTTTTAACAGCAGTGTAATAGTCTATTGAATTAATATGCTATTGTTTATGGCCTACTAGTTTTTTAATTGTTTGCTATTATACACTTACATTCTTGCATTAAGTCTGTCTGACTGACTTCGGTTGTTTCTGAGAAAAAATTGCTAGAAGTAGAATTGCCAGTTCAATGGATGTGACATTTGTAAGTTCTTGATTCTTATGGTCAAACTACTTTCCAGAAAGGTCGCACCAGTTCCTGGCTCAGCTGTCTTGCATGGAGGGCCTGCCTTGCAGCACCTTCCGAAGAGCAGGGCCTCTGTTCAGGCTGTTACATGGCTCCTGGTAGATCATATTTCCTCATTGCTGCAGTTTCTGTCCCCAGCGAGGTGGCAGCCCAACCTGGTGGAGCCACAGTGTGTGAGAGCAGGGTGAGAAGGCCAGGCCAGCCTGCACCCCTCTGGGCCTCACATCCCCGTCTGCCAGAAGGAAGAATAAATTTCTGACGCCTCCTCAGATGACTTCGAGGATCAGATGCCAGGGCAGACACAATTCTTGGCTCTTTCCCTTTACTCCAGGCTTCTTAACACTTCGTTCACATATGGGGGAAGGCATGGGGTACTGAAAACCCCAATGGTGTTCCCTGTCTGCATGTGTAGGTCTGTGTGCTGACAGATAGGGGCAGGGGCCTCATCCACCAGTGGGTGATACCCACTTCTCCACCCTCCCTGGGCATTGGGCCTCCACCATTCCACCCTTCAGAGGAGTGATACGTAAGCATGAATCTTAATCTGGACCCAAGAATGACAGCTGATGCCAAAAAGGCCCTGCACAGTGGCCAGAGGAGTCTTCTGTGATACATTCTAATACAGCCATGGAAATGCTCAAGGTGGCAAGGACTTGATTCCAAAGGGCTGTCCCAGTGTGCAGAAAGGAGCTTCTGTCACACTTCCATGGACAATTCTAAAGCTGTTTTAGAGGGTCAAGTGGACAGTGGGTGAGGGATGTTCAAGGAGCCTATTCCTAGGCCCAGGTCACAAACAAAGTATTGGAAAGGAACATCACCACCTTGAACCAGAGGAGATGCTTTGGATGGCCTCCTTCTCCCTGCAGGGTTAGAGGAAGATCTGGTGGGGGAGTTCCAGTGGGACACAGGATTTAAGTGTTACATCAAATCAGAAAAGAAAGCATAGGTCAGGGAGTGGGGCAAACACCAAAAGTTATGAAGAGAATTCACCAGGACCCCTGAGTGCCCCCCAAGACACTCAGCTAAGCAGGGGAAGGTGGTATTGGAAGGACACAGATATATTGGCTCACAAGACCAGCTGCATCTGCCTTCCTGGGCTGCCTTTTGGACAAGGCACAGGGGGAACATCTAACCCCAAGGTGGGATGTGCCCTTACCTTAGGCACAGCTTCCTTCCCAACAGGCTGTGTTCGGGGAGATGTGGGCATGAGCTGAGAAGAGCAGGCCTGCTGGGTTTGCCCTTCCCCACCCTGGTTGAAGACCTCCTCCTCCTCTGGACATCTGCTCAGTGGCCGCTCAGAGCTGCCCTCCAGGAGCTGGGGCAGGGGGTCTTCTTCAATGGAGATGATTCTGCGGAATGCCCGGGGGAGTGGGCCCCCAGCCCCTTGCTCCCTGGTTCCTGGCTCCTCTTCTGTCAGGGGATACCCACTCAGGCTCAGGGAGCTTCTCCTCCTCTGAATGCCAAGCCCATCTTCTTCCTCCTCTGACTGGCTATTTTGGGTGGGGAAGAAAGAAGAGCAGGAAGAAAATTGTAAAATCAATCAATATGGAAGCCACACAGCTTTTCTGACAGATGACAAAAGGGCACCATGCCTTGAGGGCGGAGATCTCCAGGAAAGGAACTAACAGACCCAGCATTCTTTAGTTCATTCACTCAATATATTTATGTAAGTGCCAGATGATGAGGGTGATGATGGTGCAGGTGATGAAGATTATGGTGAAGGTGACAATGGTCTGCCAGGTACTAAACTAATGTCACCATCATGAACAAACAGACAAAGCCCCTGTCCTCGTGAAATGCTCAGCTTAGCGGAGGGGCTAAACCAATAAGGACACAGCCAAATACATGTTTACAAATTGTGAGAAATGCTGTGATGGAGAAGAAAGGGGTGAGAAAGGAGCATAACAGATCTGGAAATAAAGGGTCCTGGGTGAACAATCAGGTGGTCTCGGCTCTGGTTTTAATGCCAGCCCTAACTAACTGTGTCCCCACGTAAAACATCTCAGCCTCAGTTTCCTTACTGTAAAATGCGACCTGCTGCCCTGTTGACCTCACAAATAAGGCAATGCATAAAAAAAGACATGCAAAGCAGCCCCTGGCAATGTAACGGAAGCGGATTGCCGCTCCAGAGTGCCCCCACTAATCAGATGTCTGAGAGGCAGCTGCCCACTAGAGATTCGGCTTTGAGTCAGAAGGAAGCTAGGCAGGGTAACTCTACCTGCCTCTCTTTCTCCTTCTGCGACCCTGCAGGTCAGAATCGGGAGGAAGTGGCCTCAGAGCTTAAGTACATGTCTACTTTCAGAAGCATCTGAGCATCAAGAATGAGGAGAAGCAGCAGGCAGTGCAGGGATTCTGGGCCACTGCACAAGCTGTACTTTCAGAGTTTTTGGGGAGCAAAGGTCTCACAGATCCTTCCTGGCACAGGTGTTCCCCTCAGGTCTTTGTGAGCAATTGAAGCTGAGATGTATTTTAAAGGGGACAGAAGTTTTAACAGTGAAGACCTTTAATCCCAAATTGCTACACACATACCCCTCTGCACATGTGCACACACACATACACATATATGCATCACACATGCAAGGATTAGAGAAGTGGATTGGATGGAGTAGTGAGGCGACAGGTCAAAGGAGAAAGAAGGTGGGCATAGGACACAGAACATGAAGAGAGAAGCCTCCTTCAACTTCCCCTCTGAATTACCATATTTATTACCCCTAAGGACCAACAGTAGGAAGGGAAAAAATGCATGTATCGCTGTTCTGAAGTTAAATGCCATTCTGAAAGATAAATTAAGTATATTGTTTGCTCACAAAAATGGTGACTTATTGTAGGTCCCTTGATAAAAAGCAATTTGTAGCAATTCAAGGGCCTTTCCACTTTTTATCAGATCAGTTTTTAATAGAAGCTGACTGTCTTCTTTCTAACAAATTTCTTTTCTACTCTAACAAACCTACTGTTTATCTGCTTTTGAACAAAATTAGTATTCCCACCCACTCTCACTCTGCTCACACACATAAGAGTGCATGTGTGAGCAAGTGTGGCCACATAGCATGTTTTTTCAAAGGCCTCACACCCAAAAAAGAAATGGCCACTGAAATGGTCCTGGAAAAAAGCATTTCATGGAGAAAGCTTTTTATTTGGGAAATTCTCAAGCACCGTTAACATTCTGTAATACCTTCAGCTTAGCATGAGTAAGTTCCATTTTGTTTTTCTGCCAATGCTGTGTTCTGGCAGTAGACAGCAGTCACCTTAGCCGAAGCCTGTGGTGGAACTCAGGCTGACAAGTTGTCGTTTACTCACTTATTGTCTGTTTCCTCCCAAGTCAGGGTCTATTTTGCACACTGCTGCATACCCAGCACACAGCGCAGTATCTTGCACATAGTAGGCACATGATAATAGATATTAATGGCAGGATTCGTGTCTAATCTATCTTTGGAATCTTCACAAAACTCAAAAGAAGATGTACTACAAAGCAGGCAATCAGCAAAGCTTCTTGAATGAATGAATCAATGAATATATTCAGTTCTGAGGAACCAATAGGCCAACTATTGCACAAATTTAGCTCCTAAATTCGGCCTCGATGTTCAGCTACTTAGAAAGGAATTCACAATGATCAGGTCCAAAACTTGACTCATCAGCTGTCTGACATCCCAGAGTCACCTCCCTTTGCCTGTCTGTTTATTTCATGCTTCCTGTCCTCAGTGTCTCCTAGATGACAAGTTAGCACACTTTCTCCCCAGATCTAACACTGAGGGATCTGGCTGCCTCTACCTGTCTGTGACCATCAACACGAATGGAGTATGTGGCAACAAGAGGAAGAAGGGGACTGGCTCGCCCCTCTGAATAAGCAAAAATCCCCTCCTTTGGGGACTCAATCATGTGTTCTCCAACAGGAACAAAACATGTCATCTTTGAGTTAGTTAAATATGAATCATTAAAAGGAATCTGTCAAACACAGGCCCTATTCTTTTCTGTAAAGGAGTTCAACTATTGGAGATTCCATATGACACTTTAATTGCCCTTTAGAGATCAAGTGGTCATGTCCCTGAAAAACCGAGTGCATCCATTCTGCTCAACAGACCGCAGGACATGGTCACACTATACCCTCCGCCTCTACCCCTGAGCTCCCTCCCTTGTTCTCTCTCTTCTGCTATCTACAGCTGCTCTTCAGCCCCTCAGTGCAGGCACACATGTGGAAAGGGGGTGCACAGAAAAGACCATGCCCTGTCCTAGGAGCTTGCTTAGCACAGTGCTCTTCCCACTTAGATGTCAGGACAGGAAGGGACATGTCCTACAAGATTCCAGGGCAGTGAGCACAGCTGACCCCAGGCTTCCCCACCAGGGCTGCTTCTCGAGGGCCAGTCTGTGCTCAGCATGGGCTAAGGCCCGCTTCCAGTGAGTCCCAGGCCAACAAACAGATAATGTATAAATAAAGAGAGGATGACTTACCTTCTAAGAATCCCTCCGCTGTCCATATATTTGCCTATCACAGAGCCAGACCTCTGTTTCCTGCTTGCCTTGGAAGCAGCTATGTTTGCCTTGGCTGCCTTATCTTTCTGTAGAAACACAAATGGCCCTCAGATCCATGCCTGCTCATTGGTCCCAGTGTTTGAGCAGAAAGGGCTCAACTTTCCTACCTCATAGGTCAGGCTCTAAACAAAACTCTGAAATTAGCAAGCTATGTTCTGGTCTCCCAGCCAGCACTCACCTGCACTTCCCTTTTGGTATCACTTCTCACCAGAATTCCTCCACTTCCTGTATAATAATCTAACCCAATGAACCAACACACAGTTAAGAGCCTGGGGTCCATGATATTGTTCTTCACAGGACTATTGATAATTTACAAGAAGACAAGGAGAGCTAAATGTGGAATGCATAGGGAAAACATTTATGAACAGAAAATACTCTGTGCCTCTTTAAATCACACTCTCCTGTGTGGCTCCAGATCCTTTTATTCCCAAAGCCTCAGATATGATAAAGAGAGCAGCCCAGAGGATCAATTAACCCAGTGCCCTGTCCACAGCTACTAAGCTAGCATAAGGTACTTCAGACCTTTGGTGGACATAGGCTGGGAATGGATAAATTGCTCACACATCTGTAACGGAGAGCCTGGGTGGGGTGGGAGCTTATACCCACTTTGCCAGTGCTCCCTAACAGATGTCTTCCAGGAGATGAGAGGGAGTCAGATCACAGGAAGACTCTCTTATTAACGAGCCGTCCCCATGATTCCCAGTGATCCTGAAGGGGGGTTGGCAGGACTCCCAGGGCCCCTGAGGGTATGCTTATAATGATTCCAAATTAATCTTTAATTATTATCCAGCATGAACATGATTTTATCCCTTTCTTCTACTCCCCACAAGGGTTCTTAAGTCCATTTTCTTTTCAGTGCAAAATGTGTTTGGCAGGTGAGGGGAAGCAAATTCAAAGGATTAGGATGACATTTGGTTGGCAGTTTAAAAATAAATTCAGTGTTACTTCTAAAACAATCCTAACCATTATCATCATCAAACAAACGGGTAGGCTGGAGCCTTGCTCAAATGGCGCACACAGAGGGCAGCAGAGATGTTTGCCGCCAGTCAGGGATAGAAAAGAAACGGTGGAGTGAGGCCCCTCAGGGGTCTGCAGTCCTAAAGCAGGGAGCGCCTCCTTCAGGGCAAACCAGCTGCCTCTGGCTGCCTCCATTTAGACCACTATTTAGCTGAGGGTTCAGTGCAAGGCCTCTTTTCAAGAATTTTTCTCAAAAATCCCTACAATATGAAAAAAAAAGGATAGGGATTCCCTTTCCTCACATGGTAGTCAGGGTCATGGTCCAAGGAGACAAATGACTTGCCAAGGACACACATGAAATTCATGGTGCGATCATTCCAATAATTGAAACCTCATACCAATCAGTCCTGCTCCCATTTTTCTTCCCTTAGAGCATCCAACCACTACTGTCTAAAAGGGGAAAATGTAGGGGCACATGGGATCCTAGATTTGTTTAATGCAGCCCAGCCAGAAGAGTTTTAAATAAACATAGGATGTCATGTTATTTGGGAAAGTATATAGTGTGGAGCTCAGGTTTGGAGGAGCAGGGTCCCCAAAGGGTAAAAAAATTAGACATAAAATCAACTATGTAAATTGTAAGGCATACATTCTGAATTTGTTTTATGACAATGTAAACATGCAAATTTTCATCAAGAAATCAAAATTTTTATGAAGAATAAAAGTGCAAGCATTGTGATTGAAAATTGACTATGACATTTCAAGTGCACTATCTCATGGAGAGAAGTACCATTTCTGTGTCCAAGAAATGTGTGCCCCTCCCAAATATTTCTGTCTCATTATGCCAAGAGGAACATGTATGACTTCATGGAAAATTAACACATTGTTACTCAGGAGGCCACTCTGTATTTCTATTATTTTCAAAAAAGCATATGCCATGGTCCTGCCCATATAGGAAGGAGCAACCAGAGCCTCAGGACATTCCTGGCCAGTTCTGGCTCAGGTCCTGGCTGCCACGGGCCATAGTCCTTGTCTTTCCCCAGGGGAAGGGGGCACTGGGCGCTTACCTGAAAACGTATGTCCCTTTCATCCCGAAGGTGCTTGTTCCTTTCCCTGTGATGGAAAAGGAGAATCTATTCAAACGTGGAGTTTGGGATAAATAGAGTCAATAGCAGCCGGTTTGCCATTTGGATGGGTACAGAGGAAGGCTTGGTGTGGAAGGCCCAGGGAGTATGTGGAATCTCTTTCCTTAGTGATTGTGGTTCATGCAGAGGGCAGTCTATATGTAAATCAGCTCAGAGGAAAGGGGACAGAGAGAATGGGCTAGTGGCACCCATAGCTGTTCACATCAAGAACTGGGCTATACTGTCACCAAAAGAGCCCTCCCCAGAGGGTGACGAGGAGTTCCAGCTGCACCTGTAAGTTGCTCAGGGGCCTGCATGCCCTCTCTGAACCATTCATTCATGTCCACACCCACTCAACTAGTATGTTCTGGGCACCCACTACATGCCAGGTACTGTTGTAGCTGTCAAGGTTACATCAATGAACAAAGGAAAAAGCTCCTGCCCTCAGAGAATTTGTACTTTAGTGCAGATATAATCACTGCTGAGAAAAATAAAGGGGGAAAATGAAATAAAGCATGCCAGAGGGTGGAGTGGTGCTGCAGCAGAGTGGTCAGGGGAGCCTCACAGAGAACACAGCATCTGAGCAGAGACTGAAAGGTGGGGAGAGGAGCTCTGCAGGCATTTGGGGGAAGAGCACTGCAGGCAGAGGGGCCTGCAAGGGCCGAGCCTGGGGCTGGGGTACACCTGGCGTGTATGAGGAACAGAAGGAAGGGCAGCAGAGTGCTTGGACAGAAAGTAGTAGGAAACAGTGTCAGAGAAAAGATGGGGTGGAGGGGACCATTCATGGCCTGTGGGCCACAGCAAGAGCTTCAATTTTTACTCCAAATGAGAGATGAGGTCATGGGGAGGGGGTGGGTGTGAGGTGGCAGAGAAGCATCCTGATCTGACTCAGGTTTTCAAAGAAGCCCTACAGGGGGTGTGCTAAGGACGGATTGCTGGGGACAAGGGTGAAGCCCTGAGAACTGGCCAATATTTTAAGCACCATGTTGGTCGTTGGCTCTACTTTCCAATGTGGAATGTGGTAGAAAAAGCCTGACTAGTGGGGGGAAATGTGAGGAAAGGAAATGGAGACAGTGAATGTAAGTGCAAATAATTCTTTTGAAAATTCTGCTGAAAGTGATTAAAGAAATGGAAAGTAGCTGGATAGGGAGGGGAGGATAAGAAATGCCATGTGAGAAATACTGTAATACATTTATAGGTCTCTCCAAAGGGAGGGCATAGCCGTGGTCAGACCATCATCATTATAACGTGGCCATTTACTGGGCACAGACCATGGGCAGGAGCTCTACTAAGTGTGCTGCTCACCACAGGCATAGATCCAAAACAGGCTGGAATAACGACCTCAATCTGCCGGTGTGCAGAACATGCAGAACGTTCCGGGGTTGCTCTGCACCAGCCACGTGCATCTGACAAGCAGGCAGGCACACAGCCGGGGCCTTCAGAACAAGTTGGGAGGGACGAGGAAGGTATCTTATAAACTCTGAGAATGGCAAAGGGAGCCTCACATGCTGGAAGGACCCTCCCTCTGTGCCGACAGTGATGTTCACAGCCTTGCACCTGGGTGAGTGCTCGGGGAGCCCTGGGGAGCCACATCTTCATCAGAGAGTTTGCTGTTGTGCTTTGTGTAGCCATCTCCATGCAGAAGCTTCAGTATTTAAGGAATGTTAGACTCTTTACTTGTGTGGACTTCCACTCACATCACTCCCCTGTTGTGATTGCTACTTAACACCTATCGTCTACTTCTCAAAAGAAGCCTGAGAGGTGGGCAGATTAAGACCCCAACTGATTAAGTCAACTGTCCAAGGTCACAGAGGTAATGAGGGCAGTGCTGCGTCTTGAGCCAGATCCAGCTGCAAACTGTATGTTTCTGACTCAGTGCCCTGAAATCTCTTCCATTTGCCCCATTTCCCTCAGGAGGCTGGCCCACTTCTCAACCGGTCACATCCAGCCGTTGTCCTGATTCCACCACCCCACCCCTCCTGCATTCACTACTCTCCCCACCACACCCCACTCCCAACTTTCTCTCCTCAATTTCTGTTTCCCCATTGCCCTGGGTCACTAGCTGCTGACTTCTCTGTGGAGGATAAAATCTGCTCTGGAGCCTCCCCTTCGACATCTTGGCTTTCTCTGGCCCACAGAGTTTAAGCCTGCTAACCACATGGTAGCTCCAGGCATGTGATTCTGCCAAATGCTAGTTTCCACTAAAAAGACCTAAGCAGCTGTAGAGTGCTGCCTTGTCACTCCCCTCTGTTCATTTGTGTTGAATCTGCCCTTTTATTTTTTCTAAGTACGATAGAAAAAAGGGGGGAGAAAACAAACAAAAACTTGTCCTTGGACATCTTGTTCTCTTCCTTTCACTAAAGCCTTCCTAAGAATCAACATCTTCTCTCAAATGGAGGAGAACTTTGGCCACCTAAGTACCTCTTTCATCTCCCTGGCCTTTGGGGGCCTGTTTGAATCATGCACTGAGTGCGGTGAGTCTGAAATGCATTCGGTTTGAAGCACTTTTCAATTTGGTAGCATCATGGATGTCAGACACAGTGACCTTACCTTGTGTTCAAATAAAAAACCAAAAACTTCATAACTTAACTGTTTCAAAACCACCTGCACTTTATAAATCAGGACTCAAAGTCCTGTTTCATCACCATTCCCCAGGAGGTGTTGGGCAGGTAGAAGGTACAGTCGCTTAGAAACCTCACTGGCAAAACTGAAACACCATCTTTCGCCATACAGGTTTGGTGGGTTTGTTTTTTTTGGCACATTCCAGACCAATGAGCCCTGAATTTATAATGAGTTTTAGCAGGTTAAGGAAACTGCTTTCTGGATGCTCTGTTTTGACTCATTTTCAGGCAGACCTTGGAGATCGCAGACCACGGCAATAAAGCAAACATGGCCATAAAGCAAGTCACATGAATTTTTTGGTTTCCCAGTACATATAAAAGTAATGTTTGCTCTACACTGTAGTCTATGTGTGCATAATAGCATTATGTCTAAAAAAGTGTACAAACCTTAATTTAAAAATATTTTTTTGCTAAAAAATGCCACAAAACATCTGAGCCTTTGAAAAAAATGGGGCTAATAAATTTACTGAATTCAGGGTTGCTACAAACCTTCAATTTGTAAAAAAAAAAAAAAGGGGGCAAGAAAGAAAAAGAAAAGGCAGTATCTACAAAGCACGTTTAAGTAAAGTACAATTAAACAAGGTATGCCTGTACACGTTTAACCGACAGTATGGTGTGGCAGATTAAAGAGCATCAACTGGATGTGGATCTCAATTCTGGCTCTGCCAGTAAGTAGCTGTGTCACTTTTGGTAAATTACCTCATTTCTCTAATATCAACTTCTTCATTAGTTAACTCCTGTATTAACAACTGCCCTACTTTCCTAAGTTCTGCTGAAGATGAAAGGGTACTCTAGCCATCTGAACAATATGTTAAGGGCAGGGAAATGAGGGTGCTGTCTCAATAGCTATGTTTTTCCAGCCTGTAGACAGGGAAGACTCAGATTGGCCCCCCTACCTGAAGTGTCTGGGACATGTTCTCAGAGCACATCCAGTGCTGACCCACCTGAGGAAATCCAGCTGCTTCAGGAGCCCCGATTTCTCCCGCTGCAGACTCTCTGTCACACGGTACACTTCCCTGAGCAGGAGGCAAACAACAGTGATGAGTGACTGTTCTGGGAGTGTGAGCTATAGGGTATGAGGTACCGTGCTGATGTTGGATGCCCAGGATCCCTCGCATGACCAGCAGGTAGTGCCCTGCACTGGGGACAGAGGGGTTACAGGAATATGCCCTTCCTTGGAGAACAGCTGCCACGTTCAGGTGCTCACAGCCACGATCTCAGTCATCACAGACACTCTGTTTGGAAGGTAAAATTATCCCCAGCTTACAGGCACAGTCAAAGAAGTTGGACAACTCTCCCAGCTCACACAAACAATCCGGCGTCCTAATCAACACCTCCTAGCCCCAAACCTGCTCATTCCACAGCCACCCACACGCCACCTGCAAACACAACTCTATGACAACTGCGCTGTTCTCTGAGGCTCCAAATGGCCCTGCAACCCACAGTTCAGGGAATTAGAGTCAAAACTCTTCTCCAGTCTGGACTTGGAGGGTGAGAACAGAACTGGTATTCTTTTCCCCTGATGCTGGTTTGGTTTGTTTCCGGGAGCTCTCGAAGAATCATTTTCCTGTTTCACCTACCCCCAAGTCTTCAATCTGTTCCCAGATATTTGGAATTCCACAAGTGGTCACTCATTTCTTTAACTTAAGATTTCTTATCTCTAGCTATAAAGCAGGGATTCAACGTATCCATTGTAATCAGTCATTTGTATCACAGTGTGAACATGTCAGTCATACCAGGAGTTTTGAGGGAGAGGAAAGCTGAGAGTTACAATGGGGTAGGCGGAAGGCAACTTAGCAAGGTAGGGGTGTGTGTCCAGTTTGTTTATATCTATATCCACACTGCAAGGCCCGGCATGCAGGCAGAGGTCACAAGTAGCAGCAGGGAGAAAGAAAGGAGGGCTGGGGAGAGGAGTTGGAAGGAAGGGATGGAGGAAAGAGGGGAAGGAGGGAGAGAGAGGAAGGGGTAAGTTGGAGAGGTTTCAACACCACTCAGGAAAAAAAAAGGAAAAAAAGCAAAATTGGGTGACACAGTAAAACTTTGATTAATGCCACAATTTTACCTCCATCCTTTTCCTCTGTGCTCTGCACCATGGTCCATGCAACAGATCCAAAGTTCCACATTTCTAAACCGCAGCACAGCATTTAGTATAAGGAGCATCTTATAGCCTGATAAATTTGTCACTTTCTATGAGGGCACCTGGACGGTGCACACACCAGGCTGGACAAGGACAATCACCCCTCTGCCACCCTGTCAATGCCATTATTGAGCTGGTGAAAATAGAACCAGCTTGCTGGGTCCATAAGACTTATTCCTGAAGAGGTATCTGTGGTGGGATTTTTCCCATTTATAGAATAATTATAAAGTCAATTTATGACAATAAAAGACTGAATCAAATTTTAAGTTCACCTCAGACAATCCTAATTAAGCAACAAAACTTCTCTGGCTCCTGCAGAGCTGCAAATTCCTAACATTTTATTATCAATTATATTTAATTTCATCTTGAGGGAAAACAATGTACTTCACATTATCCAAACTGGGTCCCCAAGCCCCTGTCCAGGATCTGCTCTGATTAGCAGAGTCAGAGCTGCTATCAGCTGCCTCTGTGCCCAGGGAGCAAAGCTTGCCTGGCCCCTCTTTGTGCGGCCCCCAACCCCAGTCCTGCTTCTCTCTGGGGGCAGCAGGGAGCACACAGATTTGCCCCCTGCTAAGGAAAACCACTCATTGGAGATCTCTGGTCTGGGTATTCACCGGGTGTTTGACTGGGAGCTATTCCTAAATGACGAGGTGTTCCCGGTCTCCTCTGGCCTCGTTTTCACAAAAACCAGCTGACCTTTGGAGATGTATGTACACACACACACACACACACACACACACACACACACACATTATATTACATGTTGATGCAAATACATGTCTGTCCATTTGTCTAGTAAACATACATCCAATCCGATGGATATAGATAGATGGATATACAGCTGACCCTTGAACAATCCCCCGTGCAGTTGAAAATCCATATAACTGAAGTTGGCCCTTCACTCGTACAGATTTCTATAAACCATGGATAGAAAAAAACAGTCGACCCTTGGACAATGTGGGTTTGAACTGCTCGGACCCACTTATATGAGCTAAGTGGACCCACGCAGTGCAATCTCACGTTGTTCAAGAGTGAACTGTGTATGTATACAAATAGACACACATACTCAGGGTGTTTTGTGTTAACAAAAAGGAAAGCTTTTCTGGGGGAAAAATAGTGCTTGGATATTTGACTAAATGACCTTGAAAGTCCTTCTAACCTAGATACTCTAAAAGTTTATATTGGTAATATGTGAACTAAAAGGGAGAGAACCTGCCATTTTTCATCAGAGTGGTTGGTGAGAGGTTTATGGTTGCCTTTAGGGAGCTGCTGTTGGTTTTGTTTTCAGGAGATGGATGAGCTGTGGAGCATGCTCCAAAAGATATTGCCCAGTGAAAGATGCAGGCAAATGCAGAGTAATGTGCTACTGTTTCGTAAATGAAAACTGTGTGTGTGCACTTGCACTTGCGTTTGCATATGCATAGAATACTCTGGAAGGATCCACCAGAACCCGGGACCGGGAGCATTAGGGTGGCTGGAGGCCAGGTGTGATGGGGCAGGGTGGGGGCAAACTTCTTTGTAAGTGTATATCCTTTTGTGTACATCTATTTCAATTTTGTGCCTTGTCATAAACTACCCCAATAAAACTTAACAAAATAAACAGAGAGGTGCTGCTTTTTAGCTGACCTTCATCTTTATAATGTCTTTCCTGCTTGATTGTTCTTTATCTTAGTTTAAAATCTAATTCTCCTTCCTTGAGCAACTTCAGAGATTTGGAAAATTAAATTTGTCCATTCAGAATTCTAGCTGCTAAGTGACTAAGTCCATTTGTCTCTGAACCTTACCCTTTCCCCTCCCAGCTGCTCCAAAGTGTCATTGGCCCCAAGATATTGTCAGAAGAAGGAGAGGACATGAGAGCTAGGCTCTGTCCCTTTTTCTAACACTAACTAGCTGTATTGCTTTGGGTCGGCCACTATACCTCTCTGAACCTGTTTCCCCATTTATAAAATGAGAGATGGATTAGAGTATTAAGGTCCTATCAGTAATGTGGGTCTGGGGCTTAGTTCTACAGAGAAGAAGCTAGGGGTCTCACTCCCTTCTCTCCTGACTTCCCTGGACAGGGCAGGGCATGCTCTCCCGGGCTCCACATGCTTTCTGGCTGTACAGGACACTGCCAGCTTCTCCGAAAAAAGCAGTGAAGTTTTTGGGATCATCGATCTCTTCCTCCTAACCCTCTTTCCTTCTTTTTAAATTCCCAATCTCCAGAGATTGTATCTCTGGCTCGGTTAATTAAGATAAGCCTTCGGGAAGATTTTGATCCTCATGTCATGATTTGGTACTCCATGCTGGATGCTCATTTCCATTTGCTGTTCTAATGTGTGTGCCTTCAGATGTTTGTTGCTTTTAGAACTTGATTGAATTTTAAGAGCTTGAATCTTTAATTATGTTTGTAAATTTAATTGTTGTGCCTTGTTTGACCCATTCTCAATGAAGAGGAACTGATTTTGCTTATTTACAATGAAATATACTGTCCCTCCACTGCTCAACCAAGAATTGGAATGGGGGGTGGGTTTGTTATACGTCAGCTACTTGAGAATATATATATATATTTAACTGGAAATATCTTAATAGGTTAAAACTTCAAATCCAAATACATCCTAGGCAATCAATTCCACATAGTGCAAGACATCACACATAAGCCAGACAGCAGGACATTTGATTTAGGCCAATGGACCGTGATTTTGCCAACACTCAGAGAGACCCAAGACTTTCACTTTTGAAAAGGAGAGTGAACACATGTATAACACCAAACATTGGTAAGTAACGCTGACCTTTCCTCTGCAATCAGACTTTTCATCTTACCCAGCACAGGGCCAGGCACACAAAAGCATTTTTCAGAATGCATGGATGAATAAATGAATGAGTGTGTGAACAAACAAGTGAGTGAATGATGGCCAGTCCATGCCTATATAAATATTTTCTAGCTGGCTCAGTACTCCCTAGGAGGAGTTAGGAAGATGTATCCAGCACTAAGCATCACAGCTACTGAAAACTTCTGAACCTCAGTTTTCTCGTCTATAAATCAAAGTTGATCACAAGAGACCCTGCCACATCAGGATTCTGTAAAGGTCATATGAGATAATGTTGGATTATTGACATAAGTGAGGTGAATTAAATGCCCAGTACAGTAGCTGGCACAAAGTAATTTTCAATAAATATTTGCCAAACAATAAACACATAAATGTATGGAGAAATGAATATACAAATAAATGAGTGAGATTCCTCTCCCTGGGTCTCAGAGTATATTTGGTCTCAAAACCTAACACTCCAACCACAAGATAAATGTTGATGTTCCTCAGCAGCTTCTCTAGTTTAACATACAGACCTGCACCTGGATTCTTCTCAGGAATGCCTCTGCCTCACAAGCTGACCCCCATGGCTGGGCACCAAAAACAGTTCACTAGCAAACCCGGCCCTATGAGATATGGGGTTCCCCCCACAGGCCCACAGAGCTGGAGTGAAGACACGAGGGCATAGTCACATGTCCTATCGAGTTATATACCAGCCTCAGAAATTTTGGGGCATCACTCTTGTCCACTTTGTTCCCACAGTTCTCTAAATTATGATAGTCATGTTTGCTCTGTCCACTCATTCAGCATTTTCTCACAGGCTGCAATATATCTGTTGGTTGGATAATATGTCTTTCTGATCACATAATAAATTTTCCGAGAACAGAGCTGGATATTTCTTATTATCCTAAGTTATGCTCAGCATAGCACCGGTCTGCTTAATGGTCTCAGAATCTTAAATGAGATCTTAGGGAGCAAGGAGCCCAATTCCCACTGGCAAGAGGTCAGGGTCTCTGTCAAAGAGGGGAGATAGCACGCTCACCACAAAGAAGGAGCTAGAGAGCACCGAGGGGTACAGAAGGCCAGACTCACGTTTCCTTCTCCTGCTGGAGCTTGCATGCCTCTTGCTGGAGGCTCTCCAGCTGCTGCTGGGCACCCTGCAGCTCCCGGGAGGTCCGCTCCAGCTCCTGGGCCAGCTCCTGGTTGGTCAGTTTCAGCTTGGCATTCTCGGCCTTGGTTTCATGCTTGTCGTTATGCAGGGCTGTGCACTGACCTTCCAGCTGGAAAGGAATGGGGACTGAGAGGTGCGGTCAGCAAGCACCATTGTCAGGCTGGCCTGCCTGGCATGACCCAGCTTTCTCTACTTGGTGGGCAGGGACCATCACTGTCCTCCTCACTGCCCCCAAGCCTCCATATGCATTATCCTAGTCTTTCATTCACATGTGTACACTTTAAGGGGCAGGAGGAGCTTCCAGTGCACATCTCATCTCCCCACTGTCTCCACAGGGCTACTAGGAGGGGAAATTCCATATCCATCTGCATCTCTCATCTTGATGATGATGATGATCATCATCTCATCAATGGTCTCAACAATAGTCTCAACAATGGTCATCTCCTCAATGGCCTGGAGATCTACTGTAAACCCTTCCTATTGTTCTTTAAGCCAATTTCTTCTCCTTGGCCATCAATGGAATGGATAACAGCTAAGGGGCATCCTTTTAAAAACACCCTTCTAATTTTGAATATTGAGAAGAAATCCATCTATTACCTTTCCTTCTCTCAGCTACATAAGTTCAATTCCTTTAATCTACAGAAGCCTTGTATGGTAGCCAGAAATGCTGAAAATTCATAAGAAATAGCTAAAACAGGTCAAACCAATGATACCCTTTCTCATGTTCCCAAAGCAACTGAAAACCTGCATGTGTATAACTGCAGCTTTTCTTAGTTGGTTATTATGCTTTACAGAGCTTCCAACCCTCTCACTAGAGGAAGCATCAAACCAAGGCAAATTTATTATAATAAATTTAGTTTAATGAATGTGGCCAGTGAGGGGAGGAGGAAGAAACAATGAGGAATTTTGTGTGATTCTCAAGAAGCTTCTGTGTAATCTGGTAAGCATGCAGTAATTAAATCGAGTGGCAATCATTCATGTGAGGGATAAATCTAATTGGTAAGGACTTGATGCATAATAGTGGGGAGGAGAAAGAGTAGGAGAAGCAAAGTATGGCTGTGGAAGGGGGATGGGAAGGCACCTGGCAGCTCCTGGAATTGAAATCATCTTGTTGCAGAAGAAAGAAACCAAAATCCATAGATTGGGTAGCAGCAGGAGGGGAACAGTTTTCAGCTTTAGCATGAGGTGTCTTCAAGCTTATTTTAATGTGTTGCTAAAAATAGCCCTCTCTATTCAAACAGAAGCAATGTGTCTGGGTCTGTCCAGGGCTGGATTCCTTCCAGCAGAAGAAAAACCAGGAGGGCAAGTGGCATTCCGTCCTCTCTCCCATGAGCCCTTGCTTTGGAGAGGAGGCTGTGAGCCTGAGGTCTGCTAAGGTAATGAATCTTCCTGAGGTCATTAGCCAGGCGTTCCCGGACATTGCCCTGCACAGGGCACCACCCAGCATGCCTGCTGGGGACTCATGTGCATCAGAGGAGCGTGTGGTGCCTGCACCCATCTTGCAGAATGATGGAACAGTCACAAAGGAGGTTGATGAACCTTGTACGGGGGAAGATGGGGAAGGAAACTTTGACCTCTGAAGAGCCTCTTCCAACTAGAGGAATCCATGACCATCCTGGTGGGAAGACTTTACTGTCTGCAGCGTCCCCCAAGGTACCAGTGACTATGTCCCTTGTACCTCAGCATTCTCCTCTTCTCTTGTACAGCATGCAGGAAACAAGTGGACCTTTTGGCATTAGGGTGGCTTCTGGGCACAATTATATGACCATGCCTGCCGATACTTCAAGGGAGAATTCCTAGCAACTTCTCAAGTTAAACACCTGGCCATGGGGAAGTAAAGGCTTTATCTTGGGACCATCTGTGATTCTAAATACTACCTTTATACAGTGAAATGGTTCTTCTCAGACTGAAAAGAGATGTCCTTAAATGAATGTCAGGGACAGTGGGCACGAGCCACAGCAGAGGGTGCGGTGAGACCAGGTGGGTGAGGGCACAGACAGGAGCCTACCCGTTTCTGCTTCTGGACGAGCTGCTCCAGCTCCCGCTCCTTAGACAACAGCTTCTGTTCCAGCTCCTGACTTCGGGCCTGAAACCTCTCCGTGTCCTGCCAAGCCGGACAAGGGGACATGTGAGGCCTAAAAGCACCTGAGATCCTGAGATGGTGATTTTTTCCCCACCTTGAACCTACTCAACAGCAGGCCTCACCCATCCTTTTAGACTTTGGGGCCCTCTCCGCAACATTCCAGAGCCCCAGTTACCTGCCTGTTTGTTGGTGTAGCCTGATGAGACCGAGATTGCAAGTGCTCAGTGCAGCTTAACTGGGACCTTGTACTGCCCCCCCAAAAGAGGACGTATCAGTAAGGGGGGTACTGAACTGGTAGAAGAGAACAGGGGCCTGAGGTCAAATCTCAGGCTCAGTCTCCTCATCTGCAAATTGGAGGGTGGATCATCCTTCCAACTTAGATATTCTGTTCCATTTTGGGCTCTGTCATTTAATCCCACAAATGGCCCTCACTCTGGAAACACAGGGCATCACTTCCTGTGGGTGTAGGTCCTCCCTGTTTCCCCACCTGACTGAGGTTTTCCAGGCCCTCTGATGTATCTGACCTAATGCTCCATAGCCCCTTCCCTTTTACCTCAGATCTGAGCCTCCCCACTCAGGGATGCAGAGGCCCTGATGATGCAGGTGCCAAGGGACCTGATTGTGGGATTAAAGAGGAATGTGTGGAGGTTGTTCAGATGCCTGACACTCTCAACTGAGCCTGGTATGGTGTAAGGGCCCTGAGCTGGGTGTCAGGAGACTTGAGTTCCAGCCCTGGCCTTGCCCACCTAATTTGCTTCATTCTTCTAGATCTTGGAATTTTTATTCATAGAATAGAAACAAAAATATCCATGCCACATGTAGCACTCTACTCGCTTGAAGGCAGAGCAGGTGCAAACCATGCAGGAAGAGAAGAAACCATTATCACTTCCATGTAGCTCACTGCAGGAACCTTGGGTTCTCTGCCACAGGGAATGATGCCTTCCTAAGGAGGACAGCCCTGGGCAGCTGGCAGGTTGGGCATGACGGTGCGGCAGCAGAGTGGGAAACGAAACTGCTCTCGGGGCTGAGGCGTTTGGACACCTCCGTTCAGAGGCTCAGGGTACTTCCTGGGCTCATCATTCACAGATGCCACCTGGTTCCTCTGCCCATTTTCAGGCAGGTAACTGCAGGTCAGGGACAGCCTGTGACCATCTTCATCAGAGCCACATGCAATGGCAGAGGTAGATTTGATGAAGCAGTTCCTGCTCCCAACCTTTGTTACAGGGAACTTGCTTCATTCAGCTCATCTGCCGCTCCGGGGCAGTGCCAGTGAGGAGGGCAGCTCCAGAGTCCCCATGCCCATGTTGCCATCCCCACGGAGTGTCTTACTGCCTCTGCCAGCACAGAGCTTTGAGAGGCCTACTACCCTGGAGCTGGAGTGGACAAGTGAAGTGACTAATATTTTCCTTGTGGTCAAACAAACTGCTAAACATAGAGGCAGGGGGTCCAGCTTTTACCATGCTGTCATAAACTGTAACACCAGTATTCTCACACTGTGGCCAGGCAAAAGCTTGTGTATCCAAAGGCTTAGTAGCATAGAAAAGCACATTCTAACAGTTTCCATGTTTATGCAAAAAGCATAAATCTGAACACTGAGCCTGAAAGGTGTGAACAGGGATCAGAAGGGGGTAGGTAGGTGCTTAGGCCACCTTCAGAGATATCAGTTTGTTCTTGAATTTTTTCCTCTAACCTCTTCCCACTCCCAATTCCCATGCATTGGCCCACCTTTCATTTCTGGAAGCATGCCCCTTTCTTTAGCCAGGACCTTTGACCTGCTATCATAGCCCAGGCACAGGGGGCAAATGCCCCAGAGCTCAGCCCCTTTGTGCAGTAGGTCATTTGGGGTAAAGGAAGTGGTTCTCCTACTGCAGGGGCAAAAAGGCTGCTGTTCTCAGAAAACTATTTTAGGGTCTGCTAGGTAAGGAGTGTGTGAGTTCTGTCTGCCATATACTCATTCACTATGCCGAAGACTGGGGAGCAGCCAGAATGTTTTAAAGCTCTAAAAAACAATAGAGGAGAAGTCTGGGAATACTGACAAGTCTCCACAGGGCTCTAGTTGGAGCACCTGACTGGCTTTTTGTGGAAAGCATCCAGACTCCCTCTCTGTTTGAATGACATCTGCGATAATACATGAAGCTGTGGTGTGGATCATCAAAGCACATACAATTAAAAAAATCGTTCAGACCAACCTGCATTAAGTGGGAGAAAAGAGATTGTAATAGTCCAGCCTCAGTGCTGAGCAGCCAGGGATGATGTGATCTCTGTGCTGTGTCCCCCCAAATTTTTATGTTGTCACCTAATCCCCAAGGTGACAATATTAAAAGGTGGGGCCTTTGGGAGGTGATCAGTTCCCTTGTAAAAGAGACTCTGAGAGCTTGCTTGCCCCTCTCGCCACATGAGGACACAGAGTGGTCGCCTGTCTGCAACCTGGAACAGGGTTCTCACCGGAACCTGAGAGTCTGGCACCCTGATCTTGGACTTCTAGCCTCCAGAATGGTGAGAAATACATGTTTGTTGTTTGTAAGCCAATCAGTTTATGGCATTTTTGTAACAGCAGTCCAAACTGACTAAGACAGGAGGTCCCCATTCAAGATCGAAGACTTTTCTGCTGAAAACCCACCAAGTAGATAATCAAAAAATGGATAATAGAGTTTTCTGTAGTTTTGTTTTATGAATATGTTTTATGAACATGGATATGCTTATCTTGGCTTGGAAAAGGTGCTGATTTTGCCAGTTCTGACCTCCCAAAACAAATAGCAGGGCTTGGTAAGAGGCGAAGAGCCAGACTAGGAATAGAAAATGTGAGTTTTAAATTTCCTCCCATGGTATCTGAGAAAGGCAGAATTTGATTTGTCTTGGAAATTAAATTATCTAGGTGTCTAAACGAAAATGGTAGGATGTACAGGCTCTAAGGGTGGTCCCCTCAGGGGAGCTGTTGGGTACAGAGTGGAATGGAAGCATGTATTTGGGTGCACCTGCCACATGGGTCCAGAGACCAGTCAATGTCGGACCGGTCTTCAGGCTGCTTCAACTGGTAAACCATGCATCTTCATCCTTTTATTCATTTATTTGTTCACTTGTTCATTCACTGATTCAACAAACAGTTGTTGAGCATATACTACATTCCAGCCATGGTCAAGGTGCTGAGGATACATTAGTAAGTAAAAGTGAAAGATCCCTGCTTTTGTGAAGTTTACGTTAGTAGGAGGAGATAGACCACAATCAATAAAAATGAATAAGTACATTATATGCCATGTTTGAAGGTGTCAAATGCCTTGAAATACATAAATCAAGCAGAGAAAGAGGGAATCAGCAGTGCCATGGGTGAGGCACTGCCACCCTAACTTGGCGGGAGGCAGTCAGTAGGCGAGATCGACCTGGCCCGCAGAGCCAGGCCCCAGGAGGGGATTCTTACTTTCAGGAGAAACTGTTCCTTCTCACTTTTGATTTGCTGTTCCATCTCCTCATACAGATGCTGGATTTCTTCATCATAAGCAGCAATTTTCCTGCAAAGATGGCAAAAGGAGAGTCTGTGAGGTCTACACTGAAATTCCCTCATCCCACAGAAGCATGTCGTGGGGACTGGGCACTGGAGCCTCACCTGGAGCTGTGGGTGGTGGGGGGACACTGTGCAGTCAGGTCAGCCAGAGCTGCAGGGTCGGTTCCTCAGGATCCGCTGACCACAGCGGCCAGCAGGAGCCCTTCCTCCTCCTGTCTCCCGGCCATCACTCCTAGCCATGCACATTCTCCCCCATGAAGCCTCCCTGGCTCCATCTTCCTTTACTCTGCTTTATTTCAACACTAAGGCACCCGGCTTCTGCTACTCTCACCCTTCCTCCTGCCCACTGAACCCGCTGCTGGTAGACAGCATAGAGTTGTGTGGGCTTCTTTCCTGTTTCGTTTCTTATTCTACCTCATTCTCACTTTGGATGCATTCTCTCTACCTGCCTACATCAGCACTGTCTGAAAATTGTACCCTGAAATTTGCGTGATACACATTTCTCATGAGATCTGAAAGGACTGCATGGCCATGACAGCCACCACCACTGCACCCCTTGCAAAGGAAGGGGCCACACATGTCTGAGTGCTCATGTTCTCTGGGCCTGGGGCCACAAGCAGATATTATGAGATGGATGAGGCTGGTTACAGGCTGGAGTTACAATGAGGTGACTACATCCCCACTCTCAGCATCCTCTCCCTACTCAGAAGAGCCTCACATAACAGGAAATGCATGGGTACTGGGCCCCTACACAGAGATGAAGACAAAAGTGGCTGTGGGGACAAGGTTTGTAGGTCACCCTGGGGTTGATCCTCCTTCTTTCCAAGTAATACCCTCCACCTTTTACCCCATTCAAATAGGACTGATCAAGTATTAGCATTTGAACCCAGCACTAACATTCCCAGGGGACTGCATTTTTATACCTGTTATCTGACCTGCAGTGAAAGACCCAATCTCTGCCCTCTTTCTGTCTTATTAAGGGAACTTCAGGCTCCAGTGAACAGGCTGAGATCATGGCTCTTAATGTCTGTTTTGAGCATGTAACACACACATCCTTTAAATTTTGGCACTTGTTGTAAACTTAAATGATGGTAAGCCCCCTCTGCCCTTGATTAAAGTAAGGAGACTTTAATAATTGAGGAAAATGTCCTGGTGCTCAGTTCTAAGAGGTACTGGGGAGATTTCTGAAGAAAACATCTAAAGAATACATAAAAACATAATGTATTTATTCCCCTGAGCCTTCCATCATTTTATCCCTATCTCCCTAGGTCCACTTGGGGCTGTAATCCAGTGCCAGCTGCCCCTGCAGCCCCTTCTTTCACTGGCTCCCTGTCGGGGAACATTTATACCACATGCACAGACTGAGCAATGGCTGAGGAGCCACAGTGACTGGCATCTTTCCAATCCTACAGAAACCACAAAGCTGACCCAGTCAAAGGAACTGGTGTAAGTCTCCACAGTCAAGGTCACTCATATCAGAGCACCAGCCTCTGCATTCCCTTTCTTAGCCTTACCTGCAAAACCAGAAACCTCACTTTGAGTGTGTCTTGCAGTGGCCCCAGCGTGTGCTCAGCAAAATGTGACAGCTCCCCAAGGCTTCCCTGAACTGGGTCCCTGTGTTTACCATTGTGTTTGACATCCTGGATATAACAAATATTTTTTTGTGTAAGAGTAAGAAATCTGTTCTTGGTAAATGACAGATGTTTTGGATTGTTACTTTTGTTTTTACCCAACCCATAACAATTACAAGAAAATCTTAGGAGAGAAATAAGGAGCAAAGTCACCTGCTATTAAATAGGAACATCTCAGGGACAGAAATGAATACAGTTTGAAAGAACTTTTGGAAAGAAGAATGGTCTTTCTCTTGGTCCCTGGGATTATATTGCTGTGTGTGAAGAAATTCAGATACTAGATGGCAAATGGTATCAAGGAAAACTTAAGACAGCAATTCCATCTATATAAATACTAGAGAATTAATAAAGTGAGATGAGACGAACTAAAAAATTGATTTGGCTCTGTTAAAGCAATACTAATTAAAGTCATTCATATAAGCTGTTTATATTTATGCCTAACAACCATGCAAGGCATTGATTCTATACTATCATTAAATGCGTTACATTAACTTTGCTCTAAGCTTTATTTGATTAAATTAATAAACTCTATATTTTGGGGGCTCACAGGTCAGTTTGCTAGTCATGAAGTAATTTTGCAAACTACTAAAAAAACAAAAACAAATGTCAGGAAGGCAGATGTAGCCTCTGAAAGGTGTGTATTCCTGGCCTTCACTGAAAAGGGCTGATCCACTGCAAGGAAGCCCTGGGAGTCCAGGTGGGCAGTAGTGACCCTGGGCGCAACCAGCCTCGTACATGGAACCAAGCCTCCGGAACTGCATCGGAATCAAGCTGGCCTCCTGGGAGACTGCCTAGGCCCAAATGACTTTCGAGGATGAGCCTGACTCATGACTGCCTGGATCAGACACAGGAGACACCAGCTCAGGAGTCGAAGCCCTGGGTGCTGATTCCAGAGCTAGCTCATTTCTTCCATGTGACCTTGGGCAAGTGCTCTGACCGTGGATCCCAGGGTAGCACCTGCCCACATTCCTCTCAACACTGTCATGATGAATGACAAATAAGAAAGAGCATATAACTGTACTTGAACAACAATTAAAAATTTTTTAAAAGGAGCACATGGAAAGCATTTGGAACTACAAAGCCCTCTATAGTGCAGGGATTATTTATTACAGTAATTATCAATATTACCAGGGGCTGTGGAGGGCAAGGATCAGCATTCCCCTAAAGGAGGAGGGTCTTAGTTTCCAGGATAAAAGGGCTGCTGGGTTTGAAAAGGGTCAGAAGCAACCCAGAAGATGAAGAACAGAAAGCTTAGTCAATAAAAACTGCTGTCAGACCAATCTGTTAAAGACAAGGCAGCATGAGAGCAGGAGTCTGTGCCTGCTGGGACCTGGGGGAGATGCTCTGAAAAGGGCTGTGCACAGGTGTGTGGAGGGTAGCCAGGCACATTGTATTCTGTCATCAAAGGAAAAAGGCCACCTATTGTGTCTGCTTATCATATACGTTTCATTGCCACCCCTTCTAAAACCACTCTTATTGCCTGATGCACTCATAGACTTTGAAGTCTTCTTTATGGAGATCTCCCATCTATTCCAATCCTCATTGACCCCCTTCTCTGAACTCTTAGGACACCGTATGTCTTTATTTGACATTTAATTTTAAAGTCCCGAACAACTGTTTCATTTGGGTTTATGCTGTCTCAACTAGGTTATAAATGCCCAGACATTTATACCACCCACAGGCCCTGTGCTCAAAATGTTAACGGTTAAGACTTTGGATACCAAACTCAGAAGCCTGTGTACCATCTTGGGGGAACACCAGATTCCAGGGGAATTGAAGAATTTCAAGGTTGGAAGGACTGTCTGATCTGATCACCTATTTTTCCAGTGTTAAAATCCTGGCCACAATAGCCCCACCAAGTATTTACCCAAGCTAGGTTAGAATGCCCTCAGTAGTTGCGGACTTGCTGGATCTCTAAGCAACTCTTTCACCTTTGGAATATCCTGGCTCACAGAAATATGTTTTTCTATGACTGTTTCCCTCCTCTCCATAAAACCTTTCATATATTTGAAACAGCATTAAGATGTCAAGGAGTAGCCCTGGGTTCAGGCCATGCCTCTCTGTTTCTTCTAACCATGTCTCACATGAAGTTGTTGTTGTTGTTTTTGTAAGTCCCTTCATCATTCCCTTTACTCCTCTCAAAATGGTCTCTCATTTAGCTTCCTCAAGTCATAGAGCCCTAAACCCAGTGCCCTGTGTATGAAGTCTGATCAGTGCAGGTTAGAGCAGATTAGAGCTCCTGCTCTAATCTCTTGTTCTAGATGTGACATAGCTATTCATGCAACCTGACATCACATGGTTTTTCTTGGCAGCCACATCATAGCTGGTGAATGCTAAACCCATTTGTCAATAAAAACTCTTAACTTTGTGGCTCTGTGGTTGTTTTTGTTTTTAGATGGTGCTACTGAATCCTATCTCTCCCACTGTGTGCTTCTGCCTTTGGCTTTTTGGATTTTGGCAAAATCTCAAATATAATTCTGTTAGATTTCATGCTTGTTAGATTTCATTCAGTCCATCTTTCCAGCCTGTCACTGTCTTAATGGATCCCAACTGGCTGTTTAGTGTACTCAGTGGCTTTCTATGTTTTGTTGGTATTTTAAATTTGCGATCATAATGTGAGCTAAATAATCTATAATGTTGGTTTTGATTACTTCAATTATCTGAGAGTAATTTAAAACAATGTTTTTTAAAGTAATATAAACCACCCTGGCCAGTGTGGCTCAGTTGGTTGGAGCATTGTTCCATAACCAAAAAGTTGTGGATTGGATCCCTCGTCAGGGCATACACCTAGGTTGCAGGTTTGATCCCCCGTCTAGGTGCATAATCCCTGGTCCAGGCACATATGGGAGGCAACTGACTGATGTTTCTCTCTCACATTGATGTTTCTCTCTCTCCCTTACTCTCTAAAAAAGCAATGAAAAATATCCTCAGGTGAAGATAAAATTTTTTAAATTAAAAAAATAAAAATAAATAAAATATACAAACTATTGGTGTCCCGTTTTTTATTGTATTAAATAAGAGAATATAGTGGTAAAGTATTTGCTTTTTTGGAATCTATTAATCTTTTCTTTGTAACCAAAAATGCTATAATTTTATACAAGTTCTATGAGAAGAATGTGTATTTAATTGTAGGGTACACACTCTGTATTCATCTCTTAAATTAAGCCTGCTGGTTGATGGTTTCAAATACTGTATATATTTATTGTACTTTTTGCCTGACTAATGTGCTAGATTTGAGATGTGGGTTAATGTGTTCTAAAATTTGTCTTAAATCTTGTTTTTATCAGATTTCCTTTGTTTTTCTCAAAGTTTCTGCCTTTTATACTTTGCTGGTATGTTGTTTGGTGCACAAAGGTTTATATCATTGTACCTTCTA